AGGATCGCTACGTCGTCGATGAAGCCGGTGGCTGTCGTGTCTCCGGTCTCATTGCAGCTATCCAAGAGATCCGCGTTGTAGAAGAGGTAGAGTATCGGCGAAAGGGGCGACCCTTGTGGGATGCCGGTGTCGAGTCTGTAGGTCTCGGATCGGAATCCGTCCACGTGGATGTCCGTCTCTCGGCATCCAAGGAAACTGGCAACCCAACGCACCGTCGCTTCGTCGATCCGCCTTTTCCGCAGGTTGTGCAGGAGTCGGCGGTGCGAAACGTTATCGAAGGCGCCTGACACGTCCAGAAGAAGTAGGCTTGCTACCATTCCCTGTCCTGAGCCCCAGGCTTCGTACATCCTATCCACGATTTGGTGCAGTGCGTGTTCCGTCGACCGACATCTTCTCCCGCCCATGTGGCTTTCTGGCAGCAGCCCATGTGTTTCGGCAAGGTAGCTTAGTTTCTTCGCTGTGATGGCATCCATGATTTTGCTCACCGTGTTGAGGAGGGCTATCGGCCTGTATGCTTTGGGCACTGTGTAGCTGTCTTTGCCTGGCTTCCTGAACACCACCGTGGTGGACTTTCTGAAGTCTTGTGGACAATATCCTAGTCGGAGGCTCTGGTTGAATATGCGGACGAGATGTGGCGTGATCCAAGGTCTGGCCACTTGAAGTGCCAGGTTGGTGATGCCGTCGGGGCCCGGGGCCTTCAGCGGTGCTGCTTCCTGGATGGCGTCTTCTACTTCGCTTTCCGATACTGGCGGCAGGCCAATCTGGTTGCTGTACGATGCGTTGTCAATGTCTTCGAGATTTGCCTCGGGTGGCGGGGGGAAGAAGGTCTCCTTGAAGAGTGCTGCTTTCTCTTCGGGCGTTGTGGCGACCTGAGACGTGTTGGGTTTCTTGATTTCCGGCGTAACGGTCGGCGGCTGGCCCTGTCTGTTCCGGGCCCATTTGGCGATCTTCCATAGCGATCTAGGTGACTCAGCCGCTGTTTCGACTGCTTCGCGATGTGCTTGTTGGAGAGCTTTCTTATGATGCGGCCTTTCCTGTTGCGTGCTGTTCTGTATGCCGCCCAGCTCTCCTCTGTCTGTCGCTCGCTGTGGTCGCGGCGGAGTCGCTTCGTCTCGGCCAGGATGGCTGCACACTGCTCGTCCCAGCCTCTCCTAGACTTTAGTGAAAGGGTGCTGGTCGGGACCGCGGCTTTGATAGCGGCTGAGAGGGCGTCCATGGTTGTCTCTACATATCTGTCGAGCGCTGCCTTCGTTCTTGGCCTTTGTATCTCTGGCAACGATCCACGGAGAGTCTCGATAAATGTTTCCTTATCAATAGTTTTCCACTTTCGTGTCTCCTCTCGCTGTAGCTCGGTCGCTGTTATGTGCAGCGACGTCGCTATAGGTAGAAGATCGGAGTCATGGTCGATGTTGTTGTCTACTTCGCATCTGATCATTCGGTCAACAAGACCTACGGTAACGAGGCAGAGGTCGATGGTTGTCCGGCGGTCTCCTTCTTCGTACGTAATGGTTCCCGCTCTCAGTTGACTCGTGAGGTTCATGTCGTCCATTAGATCTAGAAGCTCGGTTGCTTCGCGGTCCGGCGCTCGGATATCGCTGCCTCCCCACAGCTCATGGTGTAGGTTGAAGTCACCGACGACGATTTGCTCGACGTGCTGG